TCAAACTCACGTTTAGCACTGTAGTAGATATGAAGGCTTTGTAAGCATATATCAAAAGATGTTTCCCTCGGAAATCTGTTTTGAAATCACGTTTCTCACACATTTTTCTCCAAGCTTTCGTGGAAATCATTTCCGCGGCACCCGATGAAAATTCCCAGAGAGAACCACGACAAGAAGTTCCACATCAAACATTTTGAACCTTCAACGCTTGAAAGTTAGGAAGGAAAAATGCGCACCTCCTCCGAAATGAAACGAATCAAACAAATAACAATTCACGTATTTCTTCCATAGCCAGTACAGTAATGATTCTCGCGTTTTTCATCAGTGGGATTTCCTCATCAAAAATACATTTGATGAGAGACGGATTTTTATGCCAGTTTAGGACTTGAAGGAGTTCCACGTACAGTGGGACCCAAAAATACTGGTGCATGATTTGACTCGGGGACACTTAGAGCTAAAAAAAAATCTGACTCAACATTCGGATAATATCTTGAGATACAGACACTCTTCTTACATTTCTAAAACGAGGAAAAATTTTGTTTTTCAAAATTTTGATATCTCTCGAAAAATATTAAACTGTAGGTGGAACCTGTAGAAGGTCCCCTCCACCAACAAGGGATCCAAGCTTAACCTTCAATAATTAATAACCACTTCTCTGAAATTACAAGCATTTACAATGCTACGATGCTACTTGATATCGAAAAAAAGTTGTTATAAATTTACTCAAAGTCGTAATCAAAACAGGCTGATTTTATGCTCGTTTTTGATATTTTCCATGATCCGTGCACAGTGCCGTATAGCAAAAATTTTTCGTTACTCTTTTTGCTCCCTTTAATGCCAAAAGATCAGATTTTGTGGGGATTTCTTCTGCACACATAGAGTATTGTCTGTATCTTGAAGTTGAAAAATTTGTATTTTCATTTTTGGGGACTTATTCCTAACAATTGATGAGTTGGAGAACCAATTGAATAATATCCGGTTGAAGTCTATGGGAAAAAGTGATCCGACATCTCGGGGGGGAGGGGGGGCACCCTGTATTTTTAAATTCTTTTCTTTTTCGAAATGAATAAATAAAGCATCGTCAGCGCCGTCTGTGGAATCATTTGATAGCCGAACTCGCGTGCGGAGAATTGAATTCGCTCGTGTTTCCCGCCAATTATTCGCCGCCGCCGTTTCATCACTGCTTTCGGTGAGGGCGACCTTGCGAGGAAAGAACGTTTTCTCGCAGACGCGTGCAGCCGTTGCTCAACTACTTGACTCAACATTACGTTCATCCCTGTGGAACACCGACGCTGTCTTGGCGACCATTTCAGAGAAAATGGGCTTCCGGAAGAAAAAAAAAAGTGATGCTGAAATTGTCTCCTTTTGTAGTTGCAGGGCGACTTTAAAACACATGGCCAGCATCAATTTGCAAACGTTGATCGAAGGTCGTGCTAAGCACTTGATCACGCGCTCTTTTCACGAGTCGCCTCGAAACATTCGACTTTCATTCGATTCCTCCTGGATTCTTCTTGGTCTTTGTGCTGGCATCAACTCGCCTCTTCTGTTCTCTTCTTCGCCATTTACATGATGCGTACTGGGCAAAAGCACTTAACTTGCAAAAGAAAGCGAGCCCCCCAATAACATCACCGAGCATTGTTTCCGCGGGAAAGACCGTATGCGCACAGTATATGTGAAGCTCAAGTGTGGCCGAGTTCACAAACACGCCGTAAATCAATAGAACAAGAGCAAGGAATAATGCTTTTGTCCGCGCTTCTTTTTCCGCGTCGTGTGAGATGAAAATGTTGACGGTTTCATCGCTGTACTTGTTTATCCCGATGAGTTATAATGGCGTAAACCGTGAAGAGATATGCATGAATTGAATGCTTTTTTTATTTTATTTTCTGAGGTCGATATTGACATTTGTGTTTTATTATGGAACATTCAGTCTGAACAGTGTCGCAATTCGCTTCAAGAAAACTGAAATGCATTAAAATCATGTCTGTTGTTTAGGAGGCATCAGGAATATGTATCAATTGTAAATGACAACTGCTGATGCCGAACAGTTCGTGATTGGTTACTAGAGATTTTTTATTTTTATGTTGATTTAGAACAAATACAGTATTCATTCGCGAAGTATTCTTCACACTACCTGTGTAGTGAATCTAGCATCTCTGACACATGTTTACCTTAAAATCCCATTTAACCACGCATTTTTGCACGTCGGAAAACATTTTATAGATGTGGTCCTCACCGGGTTTCGCCAGTATAGGTGCGGGGTTTTGACTGATTACGATGCTACAGCAGAAAAAAAGTAGACTCCAGTACTGAATTGTGCACGCAAACTTCAGAAGACGGAGGAATTTTCGGGATGAGTTCGTTTCTACTTATTTCTCGTATGGGGGTACAAGTGCAGGATATGGTACCTTGTTGATGAGGGACTGAAGTCAAAACATAATAGTTCAGTATCGGAAACAACGATCGTGATACATGAATGACGATTAAGTGACATGGAGCAAAACATCTAGAATCGCTCTGGCAAACTGTTTTCTAGATTGTGTAGATGTCACGCGATACCTTTCTGCAAACACCGGCCCCTGAACGTAAATTCCACATACTGTACAACACTGTATTGTACACTGGTGGATTCAGCTCCAATAAGTTCTGTATACTGTGCTCGATTGTAAAATACAGTATGAACAATAGTTTAATTTTCGGTATGGCACGGCTAATGCATATCACGTGAATATGCTGATTTACAGTGTTTCTTCGGTCTCTGCTTCCTCATGCGCCTTTTCGAGCATTCATTTTTCAAACTTCCCGTTGTAATTCAAGATTTTGCTGGATCTAAATTTGTGGAACGTGTATGATCTTATCAATACAAATAACCTCTCATTCACGAAAACTCTTCTGTAAAACTGTTAAAAAAAAGGCCTAGCTGGAGAACGGCGATACAAGCACTTTCCAGGGCTGGTTTCCTGATGGAGAGTGCGAGACGCAGTACTGTACACCGTCAATTTTTCATATACCCAAAGCTGGTTAGTCAACCACTTGAAAAAACCAGAAAATGTAAAGACTCTACTTGAAGAGGGCGTTTCGAAAAAGGTTGGTATTTTTCTCCAAAGTTGAACGAGTAGAGCGATAAAACAAAATTACCATGGTTATCTGCAGGTCAAGTTTACCTAGTTCAGGTTGCCCTTTATCAATTTGCAGTTTTGCCTCTGGAGAGGCCGGAAAAAATTGAGAACTTGTATTCTATCCACTCACAGTTTCACATTTCACGCAGGAGTTAAACAGTTCATCTTTTTGTCATGCCAAAAATGAGCTTATCAATTTAGAACTTCACGGTAAATTGTTCATGTCATCCACGCCATTCCTCTTTTTTCATTTTTCCTTCTGCGGGAAAGTCACTCATTTCCTCCAATTTTTGAAAATTTCTGTAAACAACAATTCATTAACATATACATTAAGATGCATTTAGAGCAGTTGAGCGAAACATTTGGCACATGCCTTGTTCGTGGAACCAAGAGGCTTGACGTACCAGAGTAATTCAAAAACGTTGCTATCATGACTATATTTGTGTTGAACAGATGTCGCTGTGAACTGGAAAAATCGGCAAAAATTCGTCATTCCGTTGACCCCATTCGGTTGCAAATATATGCAAGCACAGCGTCTAATGTCCGTCGAACGAGGGGAATGCGGTACAATATTTGCACGGAGGGTTCGAACATTCTTCATCGAATTTTCATTCGATATGCTGCATGATAAAAGAAAACATGTGCGGAATCGTACTCGGATTAGCATGCAGTTGGCTGCCTATTTTTGCATCGGGGTCGCCTCCATGGCGTGCGAAGTACGTGATTCATCACGTTTGCTCGAGCATCGCATTCAAGCAACCATGGAAAAATATGCTGCTAGAATTTCGCGAAGATGCTCTTCTGCCTCGTCCCTCCGCATTTCGAAGCCTACAACGGTTTTATTCGCATGCAAATTCCGCATATCGCATGCGTAATTTACCTCGCCACAGCCTTTGTGTCCCGCTGTTCCAGTTTCCGCCATTGAGGCGACGGGAAACGAGGTATTCTGGTCGTGCCAAGGACGCCTTGCATTTTACTTTTTCAACTTACGAGCTTCTGTCGGGACTCTGGAAGCATGAATTTCGCCAAGAATTGTTCCAATAAATAATCTCATTGATGCAAAGAAAAGAAAACGACAGAGGCTGCTGGTTCCAAAATGTTGAAGGGTACTAATCCAGCGAGATCAAGAGACATGTGTTCATCTCATCTGCGAGTGGAAACGTCGACGAAGACAAACTCGAGGGAAGATCGAGGGATCGAAAGAGGGCGAGGAATGAGCACGCGGAAACGAAGCACAAGGGAGGAATTCCGCATTTGCATAATCTCTCACTTAATAATAATTACCATGGTTTTGTGCTGGAGTGCGGCGCTCAGATACGGAATTTCCATCATAAAAGCCGGCTCGGGTTATGAAATTATGAAGCCCTCACAGCTAACGACCGATAGGGTTTTCTCGCTGAAAAAAAAAAGGGGGCGACACGATTTTCGCTACTGACAATTTTCTTCTTGCCCCCTTCTGGCAGAAATATGCATTTTCGTATTTAATTTCTGGAAACATTACATTTGCATGCCGCGGAACTATGTTTGCTCTTCGTCATCGTGAATATGGAAAACACTTTCCCGAATTACTGTAATAGTTTACTCCTCCGTACATACAGTTTATTTGTTTTACGTTATTATGACTTGTTACAATTGTTTATATTTAGTTTTTCTCATTGAATATTGCAAAATAAGTTCCAAAACTTGATTTTTCGTGTCTTCAGTCTACATTTGAACTATAAACGTTATTCTGAAGCGATTATTGTTTCAGGGATAAAAAATTCAGGTCATGTTAATTAAAACAATTCATTGTTTCAACATCCCGATTTATTTTGCTTGCTTGCCAAGTATTGTAGTGTATGTACAATCTCTTCAAGTTATCTCATAGCGTGTGCATCCCAATTTTCCAATGACTGCATGCGGTATTGAATTTGAGATTTTTTCGCAATTTAGTTGAATTAATAGAATATGAAAACTTGGTAGGAATATATCTTTTTACGCAAGAAAATCGAAGTTCATTGCCAATGATAAAATGTAACAAAAATGATTTCATTTCCCCGTTCATGGATAAGATTTTAAGCTTATTTCTTTATCGTCTGATTTTTCTATTTTTAATTTTCAAAGTACAATGTAGTAGAACACATTTTTTTAATGACAAGTTTTTGTGGAATTTGACTGTGCCTGATCTTTGATTTTTCCCCAGTTCTACTTGTTAACAGAAAAAACCCGATGGTATTTTGTTCCGATATACATTCATCTGATACTATTTAGTTTGTACAATTTAGATTCGTATAGGAATGTACTATATGTGCAAAATATTATCCAATATTGTGGACTGGGTATTTGATTTGATGGTGATTGAGTTGTGTTCATTGAATATGTCATTGGCCTTGGAACGGAGAGACTACATTGCTTAACGTTTATTTTCAACTGTTTTTTTCTGCCGCACCAACTAAAAACGTTAAGCAAGGGTTGACTGTAGTGAAACAATTTTCTCTGCAAAAAGGATGTTTAGCAGCCTTGTCACAGGTGACTTGTTCTGCCATACCCAGTGAGCACAGAAATGTCCATTTGGGTCCGAAATTCATCCAAAGCAACTTATCTGAGAATCTTGCCAAAGAAGGACAAGTTGCTTTGGATGAAAATTGGCCAACATGTCCAATTCTGATCCAAAAGTCATCCAAAAGTGGCTGTCTTCTGGTGGACTTTTGGATCAAAAACAGACCAGTTCTGGAGGGATTTGGGACATCTTTTGGATAAAGATGGGACAATGTATCTGATTTTTATCAAAAAGATTTCCCCATTTCCCCTGAAACTTTTATTTTTTTTTAATTTTGCTAAATTGTGATAAAATTTTCGACCCACCTGGGAAGTTCACATTCTTCTTCACATGTGTTATAATTGTTCCTTCATGCTCTTTATAGCTCATCTAGATGCTTCATTGATATTTATTCTGTAGAATTTATTCATATTACCTGGTTATTCATATCTAGTTGGTGACTGCACATAATTTTTCCATCTACAATTTATCAATTACCTATTCCACTACCTAGCTAACCTACCTACCTACCTCTTAAGGAATGAAGAAGTGGTTACTTAACCGGGAATCAAACCCAGGACCTCTGGCTGGGAGCTGAACCCCATAGGTAGACAGCTACAGCCCACTATATGTGGAGCCACTCTGGAAATCAGGTTTATATGCTGGTGCCAGAAATTTGTAGACAAGTTCGCCAAACTTGTCCACACAATGTCACTGGAGCCAAGATCTTGCGGACAAGTTTTTGAGAACTTCCTGGCGGAGAAGTTCTCCAAACTTGTCAAGACCCTGGTCTGCAAAAGAAGGTTGGAGAACTTGCCCACAAATGTGTGGGGCCAGCAGTGTCTGGCAGTAAAATATGACCATAGAACTCATTTGGATGACTTTTGGACATATTTTGGGGAATTTCTTGCTCTCTGGGTACTTGTGTATTTCATATGATGTACTGTACTGTACTTAAGCACAAAAGAGTATACAGTAATTGATTCGAATTTTCAAGGACAAATGAAATTTGCAGTTATCATTTTACCCATCAGAATTGTTTACATTCAGTGCTCACCTGCCTGTTTTGACTACAGAAGTGATCTTTTGAGAGGAAGATTAAGTAGGTGGAATACAAAGCATTGGAAGCTTGTGTTGTAATTACGTAGGAGGATGTACACAAATGCAAATTAACTTACACAATGCAGTTACACAATGCAGTATTTGACCAGGTTTTATTATATAAGCACCAACCAGCCAGCGTAAATTTTATGTGTCTTAAAATTATATACTTCTTTCACCCAGCATGTATGAATTTTTCATGGCACGGTTCAACCTTCATTTGCTGGAAAAGATGTTTTTAAAGATATTTTATTGCAATTTCAAACCTGACAATCCCGTTTAAAAATAAAAAATTTACGGTTGAAGAACTTTAAGAACTTTTTGTGGTGTGGCGATTGAACAAAGATCAATATTTATTATGAAATTAGTATTTTAGTTTAAGTAAATTAGGAAATACAGTATAGTATTTATTCTTTCAAAGAAGTCTGAGATGCATACTAGCAAAGAAGTGAATTTTTTGTGCTTTTAAAATTGACTTCCAATATCATACTATAAAAAATTCAAAATAAATTGGTGTTAACCTTAAGGTGTCTTTACAAAGCTTGAATTGAAGCACAAGATTTTCACTATTTGTAATGGAGGTCAGCTTTGTAACATTGTATGCAGAAAATGGCATGCAAATATGCCATGAGAAACTTGAATCACATTCCTCCCTTCAAGACAATCGCCCAAACGTATTAGCTCCAAGCATTGGAAAAAAAAAGATTTGATAGATTAAATCCCGAATAAAGCTTCCACATTCTTTCATGTCTCCTATGGACTCACATTGCTGTGATACTATAGTGTAACAGCACACACGGCAACAAAATAAATTTAGTCATCTCCAATCATCCCCGGGAGGAAAACCCGCAGCAGGTAATTGATGGAACAATTTTCAAAGCAATTTTCAAACTTCAAAGCTATGAAAATCAATATTAATTTATGTCCAACTGATTACTGGAAGGATATGTAGTATGAATCATCCAATTGTTCAATAAATAAAACAAGCTACAGCAATCAATATAGAAAGGAACATTATGAAGGATGATTACATGAGAAATGTGCTTGTTGCTGTTTCAAGCCACAAGCAAATTGAGGTTTTCAGACTCTTCCCCCCTGCCCTCCCAATTTTTCATTCCCCAAAATATTTTGGTTTGATGAGTTGGAAATAATGTAGATGCTTCAGGTCTCAGATGACTGAAACAGCAAAATTCAGCCATCTGACAAGATCCTGAAACAGCATTAGGGTTGAGAGATGGGACACCTGCATCTCCAACCCTTGAGTTCGCAACTTTCAAGTCATCAGTAGAGGTTTTGCTCAGTTTTTGTTTGTTGGGACAATTCTGTCACCAGGCTTTCAGACAATTCTGTCACCTGACAGCAGTCAAACCAAAAAGAGTGGTTCAGCCAGACAGTTTTGGCAGTTTGCTTTGCATCATCCCCCCCCCCTCCCCCAACTGCTCCCACCAAAATTGCCAACCCCACTACATATATGGTTTCCTGCTGTCTAATCTGATCAATTTTCAGTCTATTTAGGACATGGTCTTTTTTCAAAAGCATCTTGCTCTTTTCAATGGTCATCTAGCTGTGGCATGTTTGTTAAGAGATGACTCAAAAAATAGTCAGCCAACTCTGCATAACTATCAGCCACAGCATTTGCCATGTCCTTAATGGATGCTGCCTCATCCATTCTTTCAAATTCCAAACTCTTTCTCTCTCTCTTCCCCCCCCCTTCCCTCCCCCCAACATTTTCTTGTGGCTACTTCAGGTCGCAGATGACTCAAAGAGTCAGTCATCTGATGATATACATTCTCTGTATAGATCCTGAAACAGCTCTATTTTTAATCTCATGGCCATCATGACATTTTTGGCCATCCCCCACCCTCCCCTCCCGCCCAATATGCAAGCATGCATGCACATGAACAGACACACATGCTACACAAATTAGGAATAGCATTTTGATACAGCATTAGGTATACTGCCAAGTTGCTTGACAAGTAGTCATGAACTCACATCAATCACCTTTCAATCAAGTATAGATCCCATTACATTATCAATCCTCAAACAAATATCAAGAAAAAAAGCAGCATATGCAACCTGCATATGTGATACATCCATATATTGACCAGGCAGTTTTCACTTAGTTGGTTTCATGTACTTGATTTGAAAAAAAGGAGACTTCAGCAAGACACTAGGCCAACCATTTTCTGGACCAACCATTGGTCTGGACAATGAAGGAAGAGGCCCCATTCCATACAAGGTATGGCAAGCACCCCTCTCAACAAGGTTCCAAAAAATGAAAAAAAACCCAGGCTTCAGCCCCTCCTTCTCAACTCGGTACACTAGCCCACCTCCAACTGCAAGCATCGCATGATGAGTCATATCACACACGTCTGAAGTTAGCTGCTCAATCCTTGACATTTGCCATTTACAATTAAAATTTTCCAAAAGCTACTCATTCAAGATTACATACATTTCAGCCATTAATAATCCGCTTTATTTTACGTTAAATTCAATAATTTTTGCTTTTCCAGCTTCCATCCCATTCTCCTTCCCTCTTTCCCACCAAAGTTATTGGAACCCAAAGAGGTTCCAGTGATGGGAAATAATGCAGATGCTTCAGGTCACAAATGACTTATGAATGCAGTCATCTGAAGAGATCCTGTAACAGCATATGGGTTAAGAGATGTGACACCTGCATCTCTAACCCTAGAGGTTTTGCTCAGTTTTCATATTTCAAGACAATTCTGTCACCAGTTTTCGTTTTGAGGGACAATTCTGTCACCAGGCATAAGACAATTCTGTCACCGGACAGCCAACAAAGTGAGTGGGTGGGGCATGACTTAGCAGCTTTCGTTGGTTTCAAATGCATGTGGAGCAACAAAATGCCTCAGCATGAGTCATCCCTTGCGCATGGACATAGTGCCATACCCAAATAAATTTGGAGACAAGTCATTCCATTGAGAAGCGATAAACCACAAGTTCGGCGTAAACGTTTTTGTTCCGCATCTTCCCCCAACTACGACTACAATTGCCAACTTCACTGCACTTTTGTTGTTTTTGCGCTGTCTTTCTGAGCAATTTATGAATTTCAAGACTCTTGGGGCAGTCTTTTCAAGGTCATGTAGCTGTGGCATTTTAGAGGTGACTCAAAAAATTGTCAGCCATCTCTAGATTTCATATGCCACAGCATGTATATGGGTGCATCAGTCACCAGTAATGTCAACTGTCACAACATGACATTTGGAATTTATCGAAAAATTAACAAATCAAACTTTTGAGGTGAAAGATTCTTTTTTATTATCCATGCTATGTTCACATGAAAGATTAATCTCACAACAATGTCTTTTCACGGACAATACCATGAGGGAATCAATCTTTCAGATAAAAAAAAACAATTATCCGGAGTTTGCCACATAAGTTTTGAAAAATGTGAAAAAACATAAAAAAGCCCTGCGGGTTATCCAAAAAGTTCTCATTGCAGCTGGTGGAATTTCGGTTACTCACAAAGAAAGAATGATCACTTGTGTGCTGTAACTTTCACTTCTTTGTAGATGAACATGGAGTCGGGCTGAAGTTTAATTCCCTTCAAAACCATACAGAAAAACTGCGTAGCTGTACTTTAAAGAAATCTGAGAGGGTAAAAAAATGAATCAAAAGGAATATAGTCCTAGATACGGTTTTGTATAATCTAGAACCGTTGACAAATTCTAAAAAAAAAACTTAAGTTTTGAGACACTTATCATTCTGATATTCTATTCTGAATTCTATAGTTGGATTCCCTAGAATATAGGGAGTTATTTTTTCACCCAGCTGCAATGAGGTTTTTGCGGATGACTCACGAGACTTTCGAAATGCCCCTCGATTTGCAGTCGAAAAAAAAGTCACTTCGTTCAGAGAATCTTCTCCGGTGTTCGCTTCCTTGTCTTGTTAACACCAGCAGCTGTCCTTCATCTGCAAAACACAGTAAAATTCACTTGAGTGGCAAGAAAAAAAATCATTCTCGTAGCAAAAAAATAAAAATAAAATAATCCTATTGAAACGGAAGAAATAACAATTTGATGCTTCATTCCTTCTTATTTCAAGAAACATTTATCTCCTTGGGAAAAAGAGAGGAACTAAGTATGTGAAGTGAAATTTTATTTGCTCACGAAGTTTAAGAAATACATTTAAAAAATCCTAGCGAGTTATCAAAAAAGTTGGCATATGCAGCTTATTGTTGAATTTCGGTTACTTACAAAAGAAAGATTAATCTCGTTGTGTACTGTAACTTTCGCTTCCTTGCAGATGAACATGGAATTGGGCTGAAATTTAACTGCTTTCAAAACTGAAAAGAAACTGTTTAGCTGTACTGTAGAAAGAAATTCATTTTAAGGGTAAAAAAAATGAATTTCTTTCAAGAGGAATTAGTCCTAGGTACGGTTTTGTATAATCAATCAATTTTTGAAGCATTCATCATTCTGAATCCTATAATTAGATATTTGCTAGAAAGGGGTCATTTGTTTCACCCAGCTGCAATGAGGCTTTTGCAGATGACCACGAGACTTTCGAAATGCCCCTTGATTTGTAGTCACAAAAAAAATCACGTCGTTCTTCGTCTTGTTAACACCAGCAGCCAACTTTCATCTGCAAAAAACAGTAGATTCCAATTTGAATGGAGACAAATTTGTAGCAAAAAAAAAATCCAATTGAAGCAGAAAAAACAGATTCTTCATTCTTTCCTTCAAGAAATATCCATCTCCTTGGGAAAAAGAGAGGAACTAAGTATGTGAAGTGAATCTTGTTTGCTCACGAAGTATAAAAAAGCATTAAAGAAAGCCCTGCGAGTTATCAAAAAAGTTTTCATGGCAGCTGGTTGAATTTTGGTTACTTACAAAAAGATTAAGTTGCGTACTGTAACTTTTCACTCCCTTGTAGATGAACATGGAGTCGAGCTGAAATTTAATTTCTTTCAAAACTATACAGAAAAATCTGTTTAGCTGTACTTTAGAACAGTTGACAAATATTCCAAAGAATCTCAAAGTTTCGAAGCATTCATCATTCTAAATTCTATAGTTGAGGGATTTGCTAGAAAGGGGTATTTGTTCACCCAGCTGCAATGAGGTTTTTCGCAGATGACCACGAGACTTTCGAAATGCCCCTTGATTTGCAGTCGAAAAAAAGTCACTTCGTTCAGAGAATCTTCTCCGATGTTCGCTTCTTTGTCTTGTTAACACCAGCAGCCGTCCTTCATCTGCAAAAAACAGTAGAATCCAATTGAGTGGAGAGAAGAGAAATCATTCTCGTAGCAAAAAAAAAAAAAGAAATTGATCGAAATGGAAAAAATTCTTTCTCTCTGATTTTAAGAAATATCCATCACCTCAAGGAAAGAGAGAGGGACTAAGAATGTAAAGTGAATCTTATTTCACATGCAGTACTTCCGAATACTCAATTATACTCCTCGCGAACTCTTATTTACGCTTGTGCGCTAATTTTGGCAGGTTCATGAAAATACGAGGGTTCTAACAAGTTTTCGGAATGAAAATGGCGTCTGATCGAGCTGAAAAAAATTATTCTTTAGGGCAACCATATTTTTCGGCACAAAAAAAAAATTTCGCCTTCTTTGACAATTTACGGATTTAATGACACGGTGAGTTGACCTAATCCCATTCGTATTATGTACTTGACTACTAACAGTACGTTACTCGAAATAATTTCAAGTTCAAATCAAGAATTCCCGACCATTGTGTTAATATGCTGTGACCGTTTCGTGATAAGTGCGACCGGTTTGTGAAAGTTTGCATGTGTTGCGCTGAAGTGTCCAAAATTACGTATCATTTTTTTTTGTCAATATTAATAGTAATTGCCTTGTACGAGGGTTCTAACGAAAGTAAGTATTCCTTAAGGCAACCGTATTTTTCGGCGCAAAAAAATCAGCCCTGTGTGACAATTTTTGTCAATGTTTTGCAAAATGTGGGTGAATTTTGCAACATTCAACAGATGAGGCNGAATAAGAAAGATAAACTTTGGCTTCATTTCAGAAGACAGTCTCGGAAAATCAGCCGGAAATGACGAATTTCTGCATTAATTTTTCGCCCTGCGGTACTCACGGGAAAGGAAGCATCTGATTCGGGGTCGGAAAGAAAGCAATTAACTAAGCCTGTGAAGTACTCGAGCATGAATCTGGTCCTTCTGTGGTCAGCGGGTGCAATCTGCTAATTGCTGGAGCACAGCGCAGCGCTGGCAACTCTGTGAGCGAGCTCCCGGAAATGTGTCTCCTCACTCGCCTGAATCATTCATCCGAGTTGTGGTCGGTGTAACACTCTCGGAAAAATACGTCCACCACAACTCAGTCCTGTTTGCGAGGCACATCGAAATGAGAAAGCAACTGCAGTTATTGGATTCTGCGTGAAAATTTTGAAGGTACGATATATCAGATTTTCCTACTCCTCAATCTCCTGCTCTCAAACCGAGCATTGCATAAATCACGATGATGAAATCAATTGAACATTGAACTATACAGACTTGAATGCTGTAATACCAACGCTTGAAACGGAGGTAGGGCAATTCATAATTTGTCACACATGCGAAAAAAGGACCCTAAAAATTAATATTTTTGATATGAATGCTTATTTATTTTTATTCAAGTGTTTAAATAATAATGGCAAATTAATTTTGTGGCAGCCATATTGTCTTATTTCATCAGAAGAAATTAATTGACAGAAAATTAGGATAACAAAGAAAACATGAAAAACATATAGAAGGATGATATCTTGCATCCATTGATTTGTCAACATTTCGAATTTTTCGGGAATTTATATGATAATTGATTTGTTCAAGCTATTTCCATACTTATGATAGAACACCTCACAACTGCACTGATTTCTGCAATTCAATTCAAATTTTGAATAATATAATCGAATTTCCTCATGTCGAGGCATGGGGAGTCATTGTATATTTTTAAATCTCACACATCTTAAATTTCCTATTTAATTAAATTAATGGAAAATCAATTTTCCTGGCGTAGTATTGGCAAAAAATAGAATCCTGGATTGGCAAAATTTATTACGGCATGCTAGGTAAAAGGTTTATTTTAAAATGTCCCAATATACCTCGTTCACCAGCAATGATTTCCTGCCACTAGAATTTGCGGAGAATAGATCGAATATGATGCCTCACTGCTTTCATTGCAAAATAACATTTGCGAATAAGAGACAACACTCATGCGTAGGAATAAGGAGTTCATAAAGCTGACCTGACCTGATGAATATGCCTCCCCGGTCGTGTAGCAGAGCAGGTGGCAAAGATTCGGAGAAATATGGACGAGTCGTCGGGCGGGTCCCTCGATCGTATCCCATCGCGCCCGGAGATGGGGGTTGGAACCCATACACCAGCCCGAGAAATAGGTCGCATCCGTCTTCGTCATCTCGGGTCAACGAGACGCGCTCTGCTTTAGTTAATTGCCCCATCCGAACCCTGTTGGGGGGAACACAAGCACCACTTCATCATCTTCAGCCAATCTTCGGCTGCGCGGGGCAGACAATCGCGTCCCGCGTCCCCTCATGCGGGCCATAAGAACGAGACCATTGCGGAAATGCATTTCTTTCCCGTTTCTGGCATTGCGGATCGCCGGATTAGCACTACCTTCATTGGGAAAACATTTTCGTTGAATGGGTCTTTTTATGGCCCGGCTTCCTGCTGAGTGGATAATACAATCCGAATAAATCAGGCAAAAAAATCTTCGGCCATAATTCAGTGCCACTGGGATTTGTGACAAGGTATAAGCAACTGTGGCGATGAGACCTGCCTCTCTTTCTCGCATCGCTTGTACGCCCCCCATATCTCGGAGCAAGTCGTCGCTTAAATAACTCTCTCCCTCTCTAGATACCACATAGCGTCTTTCCAGCTAGTGGCAATCGCCGTTCTTTCTCTGTGAAGGCTTGCTTGGTGAAATCGTTGGGATGCAGAAATACTCCACACAATAATTGAAGTTCCTTTTTTTGAACACAAAAGCAGATGAGTGGGGTTTTAAATTTCCAAGAGAATAACCAAATTATTAAATACGTCTTCCAGATAATCAATTTCTAAGCCAATGAGTATTTTATTCCGCGCGCGCGGACGTGGCACATTACTTGACCTACCGTACAGTACCACGCACCATTATTCTAGAGTATGTCCTGAAAAGTCTTAAAAAAGTAATTCGAAACACAGCGATCAGCCTGGGCACTTCCTTACAAGTAGTATTTAAAGATTCCTAAAGGTAACTTACTCAATCTATTTTTTCAGTCACACTCGGCATTTCACTCCAAACTTTTTAGATTTTTAAAACACCAGCCGGTCGCAGCAAAAAATAATCAACGCGATATAAAATCGTCGGTATTTGAGTTGAATATGCATTGATTTTTATATTTTAGAGCTTTCACAGATTTAATGAAAATGTGGAGTTTGAACGTGTTTTCGAGTGAATGCCAAATTCGTTGTTAATATTTATTGATTAGCGGGATTGAATCAAATGCCTGGTGCGCCAGGTTTTCTTGAGAGGTAGGGCGTTAGAATGACGGTGGCAACAAAGAAGCCCGTCGTCTAAATTTAGTTTTGGCGATGATGGAGATTCAAATTAAGTGTGTACAGCAGATTCTTCAGTATATTTTGAGTTTGTGTGAAATGCTGAGGAAGATTGATTTTCATTTCGTTTTCTCTTTCTGGAAGCAGACGGGAAGAGGAATGCGAATGCAAACACGGTGGGGTGTGTTTGCGGAAGTGAGAGGAAGCACGTGGAACAGAAGAAGCCGTTCCGGAAATTCCGGTCTCGGACCCCGAGGGACGACGACGTGTGTGATCCATCACGACTGGGCTTCTCGAGAAAAGACGCATAAGCTCGGATACCGAGACGGTCATACCTCGAATTCACTGGCAATTTTTTTCTTCCGTTCATTTTCTGTGCCAAGTCTTTTTTTCCATTTCCTTGAAAGCCTCGGGGAAAAGACAAATTAGCTCGCGCGATTGTTTGAAATCTCCGAACCGTGCGACGCATCGTTCAATTCGGCAGGGAAGCTTGAATAAGGTCAGTTCATCGGGGGACTTCCTTGAATATTCTTTGAAATTCACTTCGAGACTCTGCTTCCTATGTACGTACGTCTACAGAAAATTTATGCATACCTAATTTATATTACATCGATTATATGTGGATGATCACAGAGTAATAAAGGTTCAATGCACCGCTATGTAGCATAATTGAACGCAAATGTCACGGAAGGAAATCAGCTAGAATGCTTGCAGATTTTATGTTCTTCCATGCATCTCATTGAGTGAACAGAAGGCAAACATATTAAATATTCTGCGGCACCCCATCAGAGAGTTACCTGCGTCAAGGAATTAAATGATTCAATTCCCCTACCTTAAGTAAAAGGAACAAACACATGGGACAAAGAGCAACAATTTCGGAAAATCTAAAAGACATTCAGAGTCTTGTAATTTATTCTGTCACCGCAAGCAGTCGGAAAAATCCAGTACTTCGTGCTCAATAATGGTCTCGTGCTGTAATTTCTGTCAAAAAAAAAAAATCCTGGTTATGATCCGTTGATTCAACCTTTTTCTCGATGGAACCATTTTTCAATAACACTTGTGGATTCGAATCAGGATAAGGGACAACTGAGCAATCATTTTAAAATCCCCGAAGAATTTAAAGGCTACATTTAGAGTCTCGCTAAAAGGGTTTTCTGAATATTTTGCGCAACTCAACTTCCGAAACTTTACGCATTGCCTTCTATCCAATTTCTGCACTGTACGTTTCACTAGTTTTCCATCTACTACTTGTGTGAAGTCGAGACTCTAAAATGAGGTACTCCCAGTTATTCCTGGGAAATTTCGCGTACCACTGTAGCAGTGAGCATACTTCGGATAGTTCTACAACTTATATTGCTACATTTTAGTAGGAATAAATCTCATAGGCTGGAATGAACTGCTGGCATTTCCCTTTTGAGCTCACGCACCAAAGGCAAGTGAAATCCATTCCAGAAAAAGTGAGTGCTCAGCAGATGTCGTGGCAAGGACTTTCCATGTAGAAAAAAAAGTGTCACAAGAGCTGGAAAACACCAGGACCCTACATCATTTGCGTCAACGACGCCGGTGACGTCGAGAGCGGCGCGTGCTGACGTCGTCGGTCCGTGACAGTAAATGGTGTCGCTGGTTGGGAATCAAGATTGATCCAAGTCGACGGGTGCGTCGACGCCTGCCCAATCAAACACGATTCGACACGTCGCCCAGCCCGTCGACGACGCGGATTCGCCACGCCCGCAGACGATGCGTGCTCTCGAAAAATCGCTGAACCGGGGATCCCCGCGGTGTTGGACTGGGATCCCCATTCTGCGGATAAACCTCAGCGGTTGCGGGAAATTTTGCTTTCTATGTTCACTGCAACTTTCACCCGCAAAGAAATATACACTAGTGATTTTTTCGGGAGTCACAAACATAATTCCTCCCCCATCACATGAAGGGTTTAATTGATGGATAATTTTTGGAAAATAGTCAAAACTTAAACTCTGGAAAAGTAGTTTCAAAAATTTTACCATTAAAAATTTTTGCTGTGTATTTGCAATTAAAAAACGGAAGAGGAAAAAAATGTTGCTATGAAGCACAATTCTTCACACCTTCCTACCAAATATTTTGCAAGAAACTGGTCATCATGCGTCATTTCAGCATGAATAAAAATGGCGCTCTCCAGCATTAATTTCTTTCGCCATCAATTTATGAAAACCATAGGATACATCAAACATGGATGCTAGATGGGTAAACATTTCATTGTCAAAAATTAAAGCTTAAGTAACAAAAATAAAAATGTTAGGCTTGAAATGTCTGGCCTGAATATGCAAGTAATTCAACAGTTAATTTCAAGCTTTTCCTATGAAGTTTGTTTATTCGTGCAGGAGCAAGTACTCCATACACTATACAGCTATTTTCGCACATGAAGTAACTCGTAAAAAACAAATGCATCTTTGTACTCTTTATAAAAAAAAATCAAGATGACTGAAAAAGTCATTGTAGCGAGAGAATTTCGTTGTAAAGAGCCCCTATAGCACTGGGGGAGAGCCCTATGGGACGACGAAGAAAAATTTCTTTATGCAGAGACTTCTTTTTTGGAGGCAAGATCGTCGTAGAGAGAGTCCTCCAGTGGTGATCAGACTCACAAGAATGTGGATGCTTATTCAGGGATTGTCAGGTTTTCGATATAATTTCACAAGAAATTAAGGCTGATCAATAACGTTTCTATAATTGTTGGAACGAATAAAAATAAGAAAAAAGGTCAATTGTCTCATGACGCAGGATTTTCGGCGCTCAGAGCGGAAATGAACCTCCAACACCGGCGAAATCCCGGGACGCCGTCCACGTGCAGCCAGATTCCTGCGGGTCGTCCTATGGAAATTCGTGGCATTCAGCGGCGCCGAGGCGCGTCNTGGGAATCAAGATTGATCCAAGTCGACGGGTGCGTCGACGCCTGCCCAATCAAACACGATTCGACACGTCGCCCAGCCCGTCGACGACGCGGATTCGCCACGCCCGCAGACGATGCGTGCTCTCGAAAAATCGCTGAACCGGGGATCCCCGCGGTGTTGGACTGGGATCCCCATTCTGCGGATAAACCTCAGCTGTTGCGGGAAATTTGCTTTCTATGTTCACTGCAACTTTCACCCGCAAAGAAATATACACTAGTGATTTTTTCGGGAGTCACAAACATAATTCCTCCTCCATCACACGAAGGGTTCAATTGATGCATAATTTTTGGAAAATAGTCAAAACTTTAACTCACAAATTAGTTTCAAAAATTTTACCATTAAAAATACTTGCTGTGTATCTGCAGTTGAAAAACGGAAAAGGAAAAAATGTTGTTATCAAGCTCAATTTTTCACACCTTCCTACCAAATATTTTGCAAGAAACTGGTCATCATGCGTCATTTCAGCATGAATAAAAATGGCGCTCTCCAGCATTAATTTCTTTCGACATCAATTTATGAAAACCATAGGATACATCAAACATGGATGCTAGGTGGGTAAACATTTCATTGTCAAAAATTAAAGCTTAAGTAACAAAAATAAAAATGTTAGGCTTGAAATGTCTGGCCTGAATATGCAAGTAATTCAACAGTTAATTTCAAGCTTTTCCTATGAAGTTTGTTTATTTGTGCAGGAGCAAGTACTCCATACACTGTACAGCTATTTTCACGCATGAAGTAACTCGTAAAAAACAAATGCATCTTTCTACTCTTTATAAGAAAAATCAAAAGGACTGAAAAAGTCATTGTAGAGAGAGTTTTGTTGTAAAGAGCCCCTATAGCACTGGGGGAGAACGCTATGGGACGAAGAAGAAAAAATTCTTTATGCAGAGACATTTTTTTTTGAGGCAAGATCGTCGTAGAGAGAGTCCTCCAGTGGTGATCAGACTCACAAGAATGTGGATGCTTATTCAGGGATT